CGCCCCTGATTCGCACACTTCACGTGCTCATACATTGCCGCCCCCCCCCCCCCCAAAAAAAAATAAAATCCTGGCTACGCGCCTGTGAATGAATACAGATCAAAATATTATGAATAAGAATACCCGAAATGAAATAGATATATCGATCACCTACAGATACGTTGACTATGAAAACGGGAGTTAGGGGGAGTTATGTAGAGCTATATAGATGCATGGCCGCGTAGCCACAATAGGCACAATACTGTCACCATAAACACACAGACGTGCGCGCGCGCACACACACACACACACACACACACGCGCGCGCGCACGCACGCATGCACGCACGCACGCACACACACACACACACACACGCGCGCGCGTGCGCGCGCGCACGAACACGCATGCAGGCACGCACGTACGCACGCGCGCATACACAATTTATATATATATACAGGCCCGTATGGAGGGGGTGCGACGGGTGCGCCCCCCCCCCCTCACAGCCACAGGCTGCGGAGGTCTACTTTTTTGTGGGAAAAATCCATTTTGAAGTTCAAATAATTTGAGAAATGTCCACGTTCTGAGGTTCGCTTTTGGCTGCCTGTTTTCATATCATACTGCCTTCAAAACGCGCGAAATGCAGTCTCAGACAACCTAATTTTCAAAATTTTCCGGGCGGACATATGCCCCCGGACCCCCCTAGAGACTGGCGGCTCTGGCGCTCGTTAGGTCCGCATACTTGTTGGATCGCACTCTCCCGTAAAAAAACTGCCTACGGGCCTGATATATATATATATATATATATGGTATCTCTTATATAGCCTATAGCCTATAGCTTATAGCATACACTATGATGGGCATTTTTATGCCAAACCATTCGTGAGCATGGATGGGCTCCCTACTTTATACATATTATTTCAACAAAACAATGTTTCTTTTGGTAGAATTGTCACATCTATAGATATTTATACAGAGACTAGTCTATTCTATTTTTGGTTGCATCTATACCCTCCGCCTTCTGCATGTCTTGCTGTTTCTAATGATCTGCTGCTGTTTGCATAGCTGCAGTTTCATCTATCGCCCGAGAGGTGGCGTGCTGTTCTTGCTCACATAAACCATGCAAGGACAATCCAATCAGCTGGTTGAACATGTAGTCCTTCAACTCTACTTGTACAAGACAAGCGTGGAAAACTAAATCTGTTAGCAGTTTCTTACCTAAACAAAATAAAGAAAAAAGAAGTCCTGTGTGAGTATATATTGTCACCTAGCTCTAGTACTATAGGAATAGCCCGCGTACAGTTGCCGCAGGTCACCCTACTGTTTCAATCACTATCGAGGCCTGGCTCTTGAAATCATAAGACTAAACACTATGTCTATGGCTAGCTAACGCAGATGGGGTCGCTGTCGTATCAGGTACTACAGATATGTACCCGAGGTAGTTTTAGGTTGTTTAGTATTATGTTTATATTTTTATATAATTAGGAGGTAGTTTTAGGTTGTTTAGTATTATGTTTATATTTTTATATGAGGTATGTTTAGGGTTAGAGTTAGGGTTCAGCATTACTATAGTATAAGTATAACTCTAACAGTAACAGTACAGTACTCCAAAACTTATCACTTATGTGAAAGCTGACTATTATGCCTTCATGGGAGCACTCACAATGAATCGATAAACACAGGAATTTGGGAATGAACGGCTTTTTTCGGAGACGCCGGCTAACTCACGTCTGCTCACATCAATGTCTGCCAAGCAATAGAGCGAGAGAGGGCGCACCTCGCGCATGCGGCAACACCGCGCCACTTTCTGACACTATCCGAAACTATGACGCCGTCACACTTATCATGGCATAAATTCCCTTCCAAATGAACTGGATTTACCTGCCATACAAAATTTTTTGCCATAGTCAGCGGCTAGCACTAGCAATACTAGCATGATTTGTGAAGCAACATTGTAGTTGTCACAATGTGTGAACAGCATTACTGTATGTATTACTATTACTATTGCTGAAAGGGTCGTTGTCGTATCAGGTACTACAGATATGTACCCGAGGTACATATATGTATACACAAAGTGTACCAGACTTGTACTACAGAAGTGTACCCTAACCCTAAGGCCTGTACAAATGTTGGCGTAGCCCAAGATCGATCATAGACATCATCAAAAGCAGGTTTGATCATAATATGTTCTAAAAATGTCAGGAAACGTGTTTAAAAGTAATAACAATGTCATATGATAGGCTAAATACGTTCTAGATGTCATATTCCCTTTAAAGTTACACAGCTGTATCTTTATTACTGTACTACCAGTAGGTATAGCAAAGCCTATCATAGATTTTAGATCTGTATTAGTAGTATCCTAGATATATGCTCTGAGCGCGAACACGGTGGCAGGAGAGCGCACTTGATTCGGTTGCCAGTGAGTTTATCAGAAGAATACCTGGCTACAGTACACGTCAGTTGAGCGCTGTCGCTCTGCGGCACTTGTTGTAATATTTAGAGCCTTACTAGCTATGACTGGAGATACATTTTTATTGCATCACACGTTGATTTCAGCTGTCAGCCATCCAGCATAGTCAGGTCACGGCTGAGATTGTCAACCAGCTGGCTTTTATACTGGGAAGCGAACACGTGAGCACTTCACCTTCTGCTAGAGAACATCATGGCCATGATGAATCATTCCACAAGTGGGTGTAATCTCAGGAAAGCCTAACCAATTGTATGTATTCTTTTGTAATAGGGCAATGCCATGTATCACTGCATGCAAAGTGAGCATCGATACTATTTGTACCGGAGCACTATTTGTTTGGACACACTATTGTGAATCCTAAGCCACTGCAAGGCTTGACTTCTTTTCTTACTGTATAGGTGTGCTCCTCCTGCTGTCGTTGTGTGGCCAACTCGCGTTGAGCTTGTGAGTGAAGTGATCAAGGTGTGCAATGAGCATGTCATTCCTGTAATCCCATTTGGAACAGGAACTGGTTTTGAAGGTGGTGTCACAGCAGTAAAGGTAATTGGCTATGTAATGCATATATCCTTTAATATTTTGAAAAATCTTAGTTTAGTGAAAAGTGGCTGGAACAGAAGGCAGTCAGAACAATTAAGTAATTAACTATATGCCATGCACGATGCATTAGAACCACCTGTATCTAGCAGCAGCAGCATCTGTGTAGTGTCATCCATATGAGACGGGATACTAGAGAAGCGTTGCCGAAAGAAGGTGTTGAACTCCTTGGAATCCTAGACCCGCCACTGAACAATTACATATTTTGGGAGCAGAGAACAATGAACAAAAATACCGCCTTTTCGCATGGCGCCCAAAACAAAGATTGCAGAGCTGAGAGGTAGGGGAGCCGTAGGGTGTGGAGAGGGAGGCGGAGGAGCCAGTGAAATATTAAGTCATCTACTATATTGCGCAGTTCGCTGTTTTTGGCCCCCCTTGTTAAAAAATCCTGGCTACGCCACTGTTTTTTGGTGTTTTCTGATTATATTATTATGTGATTGAAAATGGGAGATTTGGGGATTTTTTTTGGGACAACCAGAAATTGTTCCGGACAACCCGATTTGATGCCGGGGTTGTCCGCAGGACAACCACATTTTTTTTCTTATTTCGAGCACTGCTATTAGTAACTAGACAGAGGGCACTCACGGAGAGTGCATACCTCCGCGAGCATGTAACATGTATGTGTTACGAGCTGGCTTGCCGCTTGCTGCTGGCTGCTGCTGACTGACTCGCCTGCTGCTGACTCGCCGCTCGCTGGTGGCGGCTGCTGACTCGCCGCTCGCTGGTGGCGGCTGCTGACTCGCCGCTCGCTGGTGGTTTCTGCTGACTCACTCACCTGCTGCTGACTCGCCGCTCGCTGGTGGCGGCTGCTGACTCGCCGCTCGCTGGTGGCGGCTGCTGACTCGCCGCTCGCTGGTGGTTGCTGCTCAAGCAACTGTGAATAAATTCTGTTGTTGTTGTTTAAAGCATGTTGGCGAAAGCAGTCCATTACTGTCGTCATGTTTGCATACCAACTCTGAAGACTGCTAAATGTTGCGATGCCTTGGCCCAAGGACATCTGCAACACACCCGGAAGGTACATGATTATAGTTAGTTTGTAGTGTTGTTTGCAAAGTATGTCTATAGTAGTAATAACTGTATGTACATGCCAGCCAATTCAATTTCTGTCATTCTCCAGTTCATTAGCTCAGCTGACGAAGTCAGATGCAGCTTGTAGAATCGCATGATTGTCCGTCCGTCCGCGCGTCCGTCAGTGCGTCCGTCAACAGTTGGGCACAAATCTTAATCGCTCGACGTACGGTCTTGATATTCGGGACGTCGGGGGGGATCGCGAAAAGGACTCGGGATGTCGAATTTGGGGGTCAAAGGGTCAAAGGTCAAGATGTGTCAATGGAAGGGGAATATTTCCCCCTTAAAGCCTGTATTGCGAGATTTTTGCTCAGAAAAACTAAATATAGCTGAATATAGTCTCACCTGACAGCGAAAATATCACTGATTACACCAACATTAAAAATACTAAGATTTTATGCAGTTATAGCATCGTAACAGCAATGCATTTTATTGTGTCGCGATAATGCCTAATGGCAGAATTGGTAAACTTGTATTTGTGTCGGTGATGAATTGAAAACAAGTGCGTGCTTGTACTGTGTCTATGGAAGATAAGCGGTGGCCACAAGCTATTCCATACTTCCTGTTAGTTCAAGATGACAGAAAACGAATGTTTACAAAAACGAATTAGCTCGAAACTGGCAGTTTTCGGTGAATACGAAGGTTCTAAGACATTTTATTGTTACTCTAGACAATTGCTGTTACTCAAGCAATAACGGTAGGTGTCATGAAAGTGATGAAAACACTGGAAAACTTTTGCAATAGTTACTTTTAGGACTGTCATCGATGCCCACCTCATCGATAAATCGCGATGGATTTGCGTCCGATATCGATATCGAAATAAATCGAAAAATAGCGATCCGATTTTTTTTTTTTTTTTGCTAAAATGTAGCCAGCGGAGCATCGGTAGCATTTTTGACTGAGCGCCGCGCCGCCATTATCGGAAGTAGTCCAGGGCGCATGCATACAGAGACAATCAATAACTGTGGTGTTCTATTGTCTCTGGTGCGTATCCTGTCTCACTGATCTCTATAATAAAATCTGTCTACCGTAAAAGCATGCCTGCTGCTTCGCCATCGCCGCGACGCCAGGTCAATCTGGTTGAATTCAGATAAATATATACTTCGCCCATGTTGTATTTAAGCACAGCGATGTATAAAATGCATAGTTATCATAGTAGAACACAATACATGAGTTTACTGTACTTTCACGATTGAAATCTTTAGTTTGATGAGGAGTGTAACTATGCAGAGATACAATAGCAGATAACAGTGACAATGAAACTAACTGTAATTACTACGAAGACGAATTCGTATATATCGTATCCTCTAAACTCCGCTGGTCAACGCTAACGCATGAGCGCTATATATTGTTACAATGTCAACAAAAAACTCCGTTATTACAGAAAAGAAAGCGCGCCTAGTAGCCTACGAAATTGCGGCAGCATTTCTAGCCCGTCTCTACATAACTGGGTAGTGAGATCCCTCGTGCAATGGGCAGAACTGCTCAATTCAGCGAAAAGCCGCTTTAACCTAACCCTAGGAAAGGACCGGCGATACTTGCGTTGGGTAGAAGGCAGCGACATTGCTAAAAGTGGCTGCTACGCGGCGTTTGAGCGCTTCGCGCGGATATCCGGCTGCATACTGTCTAGTGGAATTTATTGTAAATTGTGGTTAAACCCCACATAAAGCAATGCTGACCGTAATGTAACTGATGCGTTATAACTAGATATAGATATGTTCTTGCACTAGTTGGCACTGCTGTTCAATTTTATCTATGAAATTTTTCCCCAATTAAACCTTATTATAATGCCTTATTATATATATTATAATAACTAATCAGCTTGTCTGAAACCACATACTGTTAAATTTCATTTACACAGTAAGTATTTTTTTAAAGGATGCTCTGGGCTCGCAAATAAGAGGGTAGATTAGTGAGCTTGCTGTAGATGGCGCCACTGTTTTCTTGCAGGGAGGTGTTTGCATGGACCTCACTAAGATGGACCAGATTCTAGATGTTCGTGCTGAGGACTTCACGGTGACTGTGCAGCCAGGAGTGCAGCGCTCAACACTGAACAACTACCTGCACGACACGGGGCTGTGGTTTCCTGTTGGTGAGCAGCGCCATCTATGATTAGCTCATGCTCGCATGGTCCCAGATCTTGCATTTGGTCACACTTTAATCGGTCAGGCATCCGTGGTGTACATGCAATTTTTTGTCGATGAAACAGTTTCAGATGAAGTAATCGTAGATCTAAAAATTTGCTGAACACATGTTAAGAAATTTGTGTGCAGGTGGTAAAGAAGTTAACCCTGCATCATGAATCCCCCAAATCCTCCATCCTCGTAGTGAGCATGTGAAGATTGGGGATGTTGGTTGTCATGACAGACCCTGGGGCAGACGCATCACTGTGTGGCATGGCAGCAACCAGCGCATCGGGAACAAACGCTGTCAGATACGGAACCATGCGTGAAAACGTCGCCAACCTGCAAGTGGTCTTAGCCGATGGAAGAATTATACACACGTCGGGAAAAGGCAGGTCTACCAAGTGAGTTGGGGCATCCTGACAATACATAGTTACCAAAGTAGTGCCTGAGAAACCATGAATAGAGAAGGAGTGGATTATACATCGACAGCAGAAGAGTTAAAATAAATTCAGTAGTGAGGCAAAACATGCATCGAAGGCTAACATATCGAAATACTCATCCTCAAATTTTAACACCACGCACAGAGATCTTTAACACATGTACCAGCATAGAGGGTCCTCAATTCTAGGGAGTATGTATTTTTTGTATAGCTGTACATTTAAATATTTTGTCTTCACCTATTCACAGAGATTAGTTATTTTAATTTAGCACCTAGTCTTACTTTAGTCCGTGCGTTTGGCATCATCAGGAGCATGCCTGGTATAACCTATAAGCAGCTTGCTCATGCAGCAGTTTCACACGCGCGTGTGTGTGAGCGTCGATTCGGTTCTTCGTCTTGGTTTATGCGTTGTGCACATTGTTACACACAGGAAGACGTCGGCTGGGTACAACCTCACCAACCTGTTCGTTGGCTCGGAGGGCACACTAGGCGTCATCACGCAGGCCACGCTGCGGCTCTACGGGCGGCCCGAGACAACAGCTTCAGCCGTCTGTTCCTTCCCAGATGTTCAGTCTGCCGTGGACACAACTGTTCAGACTCTTCAGTGTGGCATACCAATGGCTAGAATAGGTATGCTGCTTTACAACCGTAGTGAACTTGAGTCTGAATACCCCAGCCAGTCCTGATTTCGAAAAATGTTGATTTTTGGTTTATAACTCATCGAAACAATACACTAGTTAGCTGCCTCTCTATGGTGTGTCTTTCTGTGTGATATAACCTATAGCAACACCATAAAATAACTAGCCAGCCAGTCAAGTTAGCAGTCTTGGACTGGGGGATGGTCTGCATTTTCCAACACTATAAATTTACAATGATGTGGTTGGGATAGCCAAGCATACTCCTAACTAGGTATTCAGTTTTATCATGCAGTTATAGGCAAGTACTCCTTCTATCGCACCTATTTACCATGCAGCATATGTATCGTTGGAAGATGACTCGTTGTGATTAGTTGTAGTTATGGCGATATTTAGCAGAATGTTAAGAGGAACTCTGTTGTGCTTACAGAATTCCTGGATGAGGCGATGATTGATGCATGCAACAAGTACAGTCACCTCAGCTACACGGTAACTCCAACCCTGTTTCTAGAGTTTCAAGGTGGTGAGAAGGCTGTCAACGAAAACGTCCAAGCCGTGTGTATGTACTGTTTTATTATAATATACTCGTCTTTGTGCAAAGTATATCGAAGTTTCACGTAATAATAGTTTGCTAAACATATTCTTTATCATCCAGCATATTACTGGATGTTTATTTTGGCTTGTTTAGTTTTGTTTGTCACCGCAGTACTCTTGGCAACAGGCTGGAGGTTCCGATTGGTAGGCATATTCCTGTGGTGGTTTTGGGCAGGTGTCTTTAGCTGAATGAAGTTGAAGTGAGAACTCACAATATTTCTACATAAGTGTAACTAGAGTAAATCCTAAGGTACATATCAGCTACTTCAACTCTGCAGTTATTTCATTCATGCAACATGATATTTAAACGTAGAGTACAGGATAGCACCGAAAGAATGGTCATGGTTAGACTGATAGTTCTTACCTATCTGCATCGTGATGTCCGTAAGTTGTTTTGCTGAAATTCTACTGAAATTTTGCTCGTTGGTTTTAGGCTTTTTTGTCTGTATTTTACAGTGGAAATAGCGCAGATGAATGGAGGCTCGGACTTTCAGTGGGCTAAGAAACTAGAGGAGCGTAATCATCTGTGGAAGGCACGGCACGACTGCTGGTATGCGAGTAAGTCTCTCATACCGGGAAGCTCAGTAAGTACTCTAAATGTTAGTGCATGAGCAGAGGTGTCCTTTCGTCTCTTGTTGGGAAAACCTATATCTCTGTAGAAGCAGTTTATTGGACCTATGTCAATTTCAGTCCGAGTAGGGATGTGGAAATGTTTGCATCTGATGGTGAGAAGTGAGTGTTATGTGTCTGAGCGTTCTGAACGTATGTTATAGGCATACTCGACTGATGCGTGTGTTCCGATAACCAGTTTACCGGAGTGTATCATTGCTGCTAAGGAGGATATAGAGACTGCAGGAGTGAAAGGTAGAGAACAACACAATAATGCATTACATATGTATGTGATCATATTCAATATCGTGCATTTTCTATAGCAGAATTTGCAAAATGCCATGCATAAATCCATTCATAGAGTGGCGGAAACCGTATCTAATTAGTCTGTAGTATCACTGTAGCCAGTGTGTTATTGTTGTGTGACTAGGTTTTATCTTATTGTATTGTTGCTGTTTATATGTTTTCATTGGTTATTTTGTCTAAAGAAACTGTTGATAATTAACATTTTTCATTTTTGTAATATCGTTAAGGTCCTATTGTCGGTCATGTTGGTGATGGCAACTTCCACATCTTCTTGATTACTGATCCCGATGATCCAAACAGCGAGAAGAATATCAGATGGGTAGCTGAGCGGGTAGCAAAGTAAGCTTTCCAACCCATTAATAATTTTATCTTAAATACACTATACAAAAGAGTACTGAATTATGTGCTAGAAATATCTAACTAAGACAGCCATCGGCCCCTAGTGCAGTATGTTTGCTGGAACGAATGAAGTGAAGGATAGTTTCAGCGACTACAAGACCTTCATCGAACAATCCAGTTACTTGTTGTTTTGACAATGATACAGGAGGGCGCTCAGCGTAGGTGGCACCTGCACGGGGGAGCATGGCGTGGGCTTGGGCAAGCAGAAGCTGCTACTCGAGGAGATTGGGGAGGAAGGAGTGAGACTCCAGTGGCAACTCAAGAGGATGCTAGACCCAAACTACATTATGAACCCAGGAAAAGTGCTCCCGCAGCTACCGTGAGTCAATCAGCCTCTTGGACTAGCTGGATTCCATCAGAAGGTTGGAATTCGTCGCTGCACGTATTTCAATTTATTTCGAGTCACAAATTGCGTTTGTGTTTGCTGAAGTAGTGTCAAAGAGATGTAATATGGGGTGTCTTTTCAATTTACGTGAGCAGAATTTAGTTGATTGTCCACTTAAAATATGAACCGGCTGCGTGTTATACGAGTATGCTATTTTATGTTGCATGATTTAATTGGTAATAGATGGAGTAACTGGTGCATTTAGTGATAAGATCTGACTTTATGTTTGAAGCTGCAATATGGCAAGAGTCGTATAAAAACTGTACATTTATTGAAAAGTTAACTAATTAACATTATGGTTTAAAAAACAGCCCAAGCAGATTTATGGGTTTTAGCATTTTTGGTACTTTTGTCTATACTAATTCATACGTGATGTTAATTGTAGTTGCCTAGATTGAAGAAATATCACTAGATATAATGAACTTAATTAGTATTACACTATTGATGTCAGCTCAAGTTAAAGGTTTATTTCATAGTGCTATTTAGTAGGACTTGGTGCAATGCAGGTATGTTATTAAATAATAAATACCAATATAGTTTCTTACAGGAACAGTTTCTGAACAAATTTTTATACATAGATTCTTCATATTATGAATGAATGTTATAATCATGCTCTGCCAAGTTGTATATATTAAATAGACTATTTTGAAATTGTATTCGTTGCTTTTGCTTTTCAATGCTGTCACAATTATTTTGTTAGTTTTATCATACAGTTATTATTATTTTTGTTCTCTTTTATGGTTACCTTTAGTTTCTAATTATATCAATTTTTGTTTTCAGTCTATTATGAGCAAATTTTCAAGTACAATTTTGAATCTCATTCCAAGTTGATTCGCTAATGGTTTCGCGAAATGTATGTGTATGTGGCCTAGCTAGACACTACTAGCTAATAAAACGACTCATTCATTTGTTGATCACTAACGATAATTTATAAAAGCAATAAGCCATTAACTAATTTTTATAGTACATTCTCTGTCTGTCCGTGTCTATTTACCTGTCAATAGATGGCGTTACTATACATGTATTGTGCTGGGCATATTCGCGGTGCTGGTTCTCCGGTTCTGAGCTGAGAACAATACATGTACAGGTGAGATCTCTCTTGACCTGAGTTAGCATAGCTTTCGCTTGCATTGAGGGCGTCTGGGCAGTCTTCTCTGGGAAAGCACTATCCCACCTCTGTAGGCGGGGCTGAAAAAGATGCCCCAAATTTAACTACCCTACGCATATCTCTGGCTAGTTTACGCAGTTACGGCAGTTTACAACGGCTAACAGATAATTCTCCTATCGACCGAAATAACTATTGAAAATTAATTAAAAGATTGCATATCGTTGGAAGCTGTGTCCGTACTCTGATAGACGGCATCGGTAAATCTTTACCTAAAAAAGAGAAGAAACTCCGTATCTCAAGAAATAACTCGCACGGTGCCGCATTGATACAACAGTGGTGAATGAGACAAGAATAGCGTCGACGAAGGCTCACTGAAATTCAGAAAATCGAAGCTCGAAGTCCAAAATAAGTAAAACCTTGACAACCGCGACGGTGATGCATCTGAAATTCGCGGAAATGGCTAAATTCACGATAATCACTCACGGTTCACTGCTAACGTTAGGGGCGCTGACTACGACCTCTAGATTTGTTTTCATATATGTACAATGGAGCTGTTATAGTGCCTTCGTGTAATAGCGTACAAAATTCATATAATTATGTGCTAATTATATTTAATTATATTTAATTAAAAATTTCTATACAAAATCGATTGAATGTATAGACAAACTAATGTATCAACTAACTTCAGTAATATGATGATGAATGGTGGTTGTAATAATTTTTGCTACATGGGGAGGCATTTTCCTGCCATTCGCGAATAATCGCAACGGCGAAAGTGAATACGCGAATGTCAATGGTTATGAGAGCGAAAGGCAAAGAACGAGGACAGTATGAATGGTATAGTGCAGAATCATTTACACAATGCTACGCGCTTCGTGGACTCATTGATTGGGTCATTCACTCGCTTGCGCATTCACCCGCGATGATGCGCTACTATATGTCATCTTCGAATCGAACACCTACTATCAAGTCAATTATTAATATATATATATATAGCACAGTGTCGATACCAAGAGACGTAGTGAGACACTGCCCATCTGGTGCCACCAATAGTGATGCTGCCACTGCCATTAGTGCTACGGCTACTATACTCATTGAGTTTTCTGGTTAATAAGACAGGATTTTAGCTCAGATACAGCTTTAAAATCATGATTTGTCTGCCATATGGCACTGCAAACCATACATAAATGGTAAGCCGTTGTTGAGTGTGCACTAAAACCTGAGAAACCTAGGGTTCACGAGAGTAAAGATAATCCATTCTATTGAAAAACAAGATTTAGTCACCAGACAGCTATATCCCTTGCTAATCAGTATAAGTAATATATATATATATATATATAGGCAAGCCTAAGTGCGGAGCTCCCAATAAAATTTAAGATACGTACAATACACGACAATAAGAAAGTGTGACTGCGTAAGGTCAACTTGAAATGCCAGTATAATTATAATACACAATTTATTGGGGTTTTATATACACATATATATATATATGCGCACGCGCGTACACAAATGCGCGCACGCACGCACGCACGCACGCACACACACACGCGCACGCGCGCACACACACGCATATATATATATACTATATATAACATATATATGCTTATCCTACATATGTAGACATCGCGGGTGTCCAAAAAACAGCCGTTATGTAGACAGATTCGTTAGGTAGACATATTTGCTGTCTAATATTTAGCATGCTTAACTCCTTTTCTTTATGAAATTTAATAATTCGTCGTGTTTATCTAGTAGAAGTGTCCTCACTTTATTGCGCTGTACACACACGCGCGCGCGCACATACACACACACACACACACTTACACACACACACACACACACACACACACACACACACACACACACACACACACACACACACACACACACACACACACCCGTGGGTGTGCGAGCTTTTAAACATTCTGCTCTCTATAATACAGTAACTTGAGTGGAAACGGGTCAAACCCTGCCGGCGGGGAAAGAAGGCGAGGTGTGTATCAGAGGTCCGCAGATCATGAAGGGATAACTCAACAACCCGCAACAACGGCATTCACACTGGAACAAGAGGGATGGATCCACGCCGGGTAGCGGGCCTAGAAATCAGCATACTGACCGTCTATTACGTGATTTATTATATTATATTATCAAGGGTTATCTACCCCTGATATTATATATATATATATATATATAACATGCGCGCGCGCGTACGTGCGCTGATGTGAGCGTGTGTGTGCGTCCGTGCCCGCGTGCGTGTGTGCGCGTGTGTGCGTGCGTGTGTGTGCGTGTGCTCGTACGTGCGTGTATGTGAGCGCGTGTGTGCGACTGTGTGTGCCGCCGTTGTGTATATCGTGCGCGCGCGTATGTTGTGCGGGCTGTGCGTGTGGTGCGTGCAGTCGGCGTGCTTGCGTGGTTGGTGTGCGGCGGCTTGCGGAGCATCCGTTGTGTTCTACAAGTGGATTAATGCTGCGTGTGATCTGTATTACATCTGTGATACATGCAAAGCAAGCCGCTTGGTCACATGACCGCTGGAAGCGTGACATTTGTGTGTGTTGACGCTGGTTGTCGGCATTTCTCGGAGCCAGCCATTATCTGGACATGTTGCTGTGGATTTTATATTCAACGGTTATTTCTGCTGCGCGCGCACACGGCAATTTGGAGACAAATGATTTTGTAAGTATTAGTATATATAAGTATAGTAGTATGTGAAAGTCTGTAATCTATATGTTTCCATCTCCATTTACATTGGTTGTTGTATTAGTATTAGTTGAACGCACCAATCCTTGAAGTATGTAAATATAGTTATAATTCTGATTATGTATGGTATAAGCTTCATAAGAATAGAACCACCTGGATTCTTGATGTACCCCGTACAATTACCCTCCCTCCGTACCCCCAGACAATCACCACCTGACTATATACATACCCGGGTTACAATAGTTAGTCTATATACCTCCCGCTTACCGACTCCCAGACAATAACACCTGAATATTCCCCCGCGGCCCGTACAATCACCCTCCCCTCCCGACCCCCAGACATATCACAGCCTGGACTATTACCACCGTACCATTCCCCCTCGCATAATAACCACCGGACAATTAACTCCCGTTCATTTACGCTTCCTCCCGAACACATTCACCCCAGACAATTATTCCCTGGACAATAAACCCAAGGACTATCAGTCTATCACCCCCCAAACAATTCCCCCTCACACATTCACCCCAGACAATTATTCCCTGGACAATAAACCCAAGGACTATCAGTCTATCACCCCCCAAACAATTCCCCCTCACACATTCACCCCAGACAATTATTCCCTGGACAATAAACCCAAGGACTATCAGTCTATCACCCCCCAAACAATTCCCCCTCACACATTCACCCCAGACAATTATTCCCTGGACAATAAATCCCACGGACAATCACCCCCACCCGAACAATTTCCCCGGACAATTTCCATGGTATTAAATTTATTCTAAAACTGCTTATACTTTTGGTCGATGCTTCCTAAGTACTTTGGTTACTATTTGTTTTTTGTTTGGTTTGCTTGGAGCATCAATTAGCATATTATTGATCTCCTTATCCATAAGTTTGTTCAGTAGCGTTATGCATATGAGCTGAGAAAGGATTTTATCAAGGTTATATTAAATGTTATATTAAATTTTATGTCAAATAAGAAATTTTATTTCAAAATACTGAAATAATTTACGATCATGCAACTGAAATATGTTGGACAGCGTTGAATCACTGACGAGCCACCACCGAGCGATTAAAGGGACTGTTAAGATCAAAGGTTTCTTGTACTGTTTTTTGCATCATACAACACCCTAAAATCGGTAAAAATAAACTCTTAACAAATTTGCTCCATACCTGCTTCTCTATGGTTCCTGTAACATTACACTGTAAGGGCGGATTGGGCCTACCTCAGCTATGCAATCCTAACTGAACTTAATTAGATTATGCATCATATTTTTCCAGTCAGAAATCTAATAAATCTCGAATATCCACGTTTCGTAAATGTGCTCTTAAGCTTACATGTTCGAATAATTTAAAAATCTTGTTACTTATTAGGTCAAGTAGCTAATCGATCGCTTGTCATATGTTTCCTCATTGTTATTGATATAAAAATCTTTCCAGCAGGAATTTTTGTCTAGGAGCAACCTGTCAAATCACAGCGCCGCCTATCGTCACAGCACACGACGCTCCCTGATTTGATTTTGACATTTCTATGGAGAATCACTAACGGGCTGCAGAAGTGCTAAGATCAAAGTAAGGTATTTGTTCATATACTGTCACGTATCACCCTGAAATTGGAAAACAATTCTAAACAAATTTGCTCCATACCTGCTTCTCTATGGTTCCTGTAACGTTACGCTGTAAGAAAATGTGGGGCTTATCTCAGCTATGCAATTCTAACTAAACTTTTCATTAGATTATCCGTCATATTTTGATAGTCAGAAAAGCTAACAAACCTCTACGTTTCATAAATGTGCTCTTAAGCTCTTAATAAGTTAAATATTATATTATATCAAGTACTTAATCAATTGCCTGT